GCTTTGATATCTGTGAGGGTACTTGTGTTGATCGCCTGCCCTATTCACCGAATATCGCTATGTTATTTTTATCTAGCTATAAATATTGAGTTACGCTCTATGAAGTTGGGTTGCAGCACTTGCATTATCCGATTTGCTAGTGCGCTTCATTCTTTTGATTGTATCTCTAAGTCAAGTGTATCAAATATGCGTATCCAAAGTCTAGTCTCCTACTTGGCTTATCTTATCCCCTTATTTACCAAGGCAAATAAAGTCGATAATTATGCACAAAGGTAGTCGAGATTTGTACTTCTTTAACAATATCTTTAGATGAAGTTGGAGTGAGGTTAATGAGCCACAAAAAAGGTTAACATCTCAGGTATTCAGGGTTTGAATATACTTGTTGTCTTAACGCCGTTATAATCAAAAATCCTAAACTCAGCCAAACCGGAGGTCAAGAATGAAGGATTTAGAAGACATGTTTGAAGATAGTTGATATGTCGAGAAGTGTATGATTTAAGCTGTTTTATTTTTGTGAGTACTGCGCATCATGACGCACTCAGTAGTGATCTGATTTGGATGGGTGACCAACAGTCTTCACCTATGGTGTGTCCAGTAGAACCAATGAGGCCAGAATTATCAATGAAGACTGGCGGAACCACTTATTTTTATGGAGTTATTTACCTCCACAAAAGTATTAAACCCATCCCGGTATACAACGTTAAATTAAACGAAATGTATACAGTTAATTTCTTACCGCATCGCGAGGCAATAAGTTTGAATATGGTGGCAAGTTTATTTGTCGATTACCTTCATCCTAACGACCGTCGTGGAAATTTAGACAGTAATTCATTATTTTATCGAGGTATATAGCTTTTTAAGTTTGATTTTAGAGATCTTGAGTTGTTAATCTGAAATATCAATTCATTTGGGGTGTGAAATAGAGATTTTACTTACAGCTACTAGAATTCTCATCACAAATTTATGACTCAATTTGCAGCTACTGCACTTCCGTGGTAATCGAAATATAACAAGTCCTTTTCTTTAGTAGTTCAGGCAGGTCAAATAACTTTTAAATAAGCTTCAAGTCATTCATGAACTCAAAAGTTTTTATTATCCATCATAAAAATTTTACCATTTTAAGCGATGGGCTTTGTAAGTCATATAATAATAATAATTTATTTTCAAATTACAGTTTGTTACATGAAGCATGCCAGTTTACAGGCAAGATCAAATTTTTACAAATGATGCAATATCCACTGTAGTTAATTACTCAGCTGGGTTGATAATTTAAAAGATATGAATGTAGGTGGTTTTAGTCAGTACCACAGTTGGCGCGCTTCATGAAAGTCGCGTTGCGGATGTGCGACTGATGGTCAAGGATAGGCCAGTTGAAGGTGGGAGCTTCTAGAAATCGCATCCTTATGTCCCTCTGGAATATCCAAGGCTTTAAGGATGGTGCAGGATGAAGTTACCCGTTCCATATCTCAAGGGGGCTGAAAGAGGGGGCAAGTAAAAGAAAGGACGAGAGGCAGAGTAGCCAATATTCATGAAGGAATGTTTTAGGTATGACTACTCAGTCTAATCTTCTTTTATTAAGGTATTTCTTAAGCAAGAGCATTTTGATAGGTTAAAGAAAATAAGTGTAAACAATGTATGAGTGGACATATGTCTCCATTTGCATATACAACTGACAAATGGAGGCAATTCTGAAAGGAGTTGAGAATATGAGGTTATGTGTGGTTATAAAATAAAATATAGTGCTAGAACAGTATTGTGATATATAATTGACTATCTTCCTTTTTTATCGAAGCTGTTGGAATCCTTTTTTTGCATTATTATTTTTTTTTTAATTTTTAGGTATCATAGGGTCTTGAGTAGGCTTCGTGTATTATTGAATTGTCTAGTTTGCTTGTAATAGGATTACTTGGTAGGAAGTGAAACCAATTCAACGTTCGTAACACGATTTAATGAGGTATTTTGCATGATAAATCAGCATTAATATCTTAAGTTCGTGACATCCCACTAAACCATAAGGAGCCGTAATTAAACAAGTTGTTCTGCCCTACAGACATGGGTGGATTGAAGTTATCTCCCCACCTTCATGTTTGCTGGTCAGTAACGCCACCCTCCCTCCTTTTGTGATGTTAGGCTCTCTTACGTTTGTGGTAAGTATGATTAATGCTTTAATCAAAGCCCATAGTTGGAATACACTATCTCTACTAGGTCCATGTTACAAGCAAATCAGATAGTTAAAAAGTTTGTTTTATGGGTTAGATTTCTACACAGTATATCACACTGCTATAAAGATAACTAACGGTTTAAAGAAGTAAGGACTAGTAGCAAATCAAAGGATGTGAGAGGGTATAAAACTGTGGAAAAAAAGATTTTAGGGTAAGAAAAATAAAACATTAGGAAACTCAAAGGACTTTGTGGCCAGATTTTGAGCTTTGCATGATCGGCCTTAGTAGATCAGCATCCATAAGATTAAGTTATCTGTCTACTTGCAATAGAAAAAAAGGCATGACTTTTAGGAACAATAATGTACATTTAACCTGTAGAGATTTGGGAACTGAAAGCTAGGGTTAGGAGCATAAAGCCATGATTAATAAACAATGAATAGTAGGAAAGTATAAGCCATATATTCTGTGATTTGGTTATATTCATATTAGTAACAGTCGAACTTGTTATAATCTTGTTCTTTCTAGATACTAGGCGGTCCATAATAAAGTGCCTCATTGGTGGGTGGGAGTTCAAGGAAATGTTGAAGCTCTTTAGAGTCTAGAAATAGGATTATTAGCTTTTTGAATCTGATAACTGTGTCACAGTTACGGATAGGCATTGGCAGCCTGTTCCACAATAAACTATACCGTACTGTAAAAAACTCGCAATGAATTTGTTTTTGGTGTTTTACGGTAAGTGGTGTATATGCGTTGTTTCTAAGTCTATAGGCTGGGTCGTGGGTAATAGTCGGGCAGGATGTTAGAAAGGAGAGCACATATATCGCTTTGTAGAGATCTCGAATAAGCTGGAATAAAGCTAGTGAAATTGAAGTTTCTAACAGTATGAGATCAAATGATGTTTTCAATGACCCCACTTTTAAGTTTTTCCAGTTTATATACCGTGGATTTAAGTCACCTAATATAAAGCTTCTACCCATATTACATTAGGACTTAAGTTTGCTTAGGAGGGCGTCATCTACTACACATTCTGAATTGAGATATACTAAGAATAACTTAAGATTTTGCCGTCTACATTTCAGCATGCAACACACCAGTTCACATGTGCCACTGGTCCAACAGTTCGTATGGTTAAGTTACTTTTCATGTACAGGACAACCATTTCTCCCCTACAGTCTAATCTATCGGCCCTACGGGTTGAAAAACCAATCAATTGAATTTCATTATCAGCCACATCTGATGTTGACCATTTTTCTGAGACAGCAAAAGTGTCCAGTGTTTCTATAAACACCATTGTCTTGACCTCTGCCATCTTATTTAGTAGGCTGCGAGCACTTGTGTAGCACACCTTCAATTCTGTAGAGAACTGTCCCTTACTACCCAGAGTGGTTTGGGGATCGTCTTGCTCGTGACTTTTACAATTTGAAATTCCCTTAGTACGAGGTATCTTTCACCATTTCGGCAGCGTCATTTATTTTTACTTCTTCAGTCCGTCTCTTAATAAGGTCAATCAGGCTGAGATCCTTAAGGACGTATATTCCAGATCCAGTCAGTTTGCGTGAGTTTCTCAGTATCAGATTTCATTCTTCAGTCGAAGCAAAGGTAACCTTCAAGGAGCGGCTTTTCTGAGTACTTTCAGAATCCACCTTTATTCCTACTCTACAAAACATAAAAATGCTAACTCCTGAAACTGTTTCTGCGAGTAGCTTGCTTATTAAGGACTAAATGTGATTGAGGTCGTGATCAAATCTAGCTTTTTGTTCCTTTTCGGAATATTCTCTAAACTTATGAAAAATGGCTGGCCTATCAGCGAGGTCTGTGTTAACACGTCGTGGAATCTTACTTCCTGAAATCATCTCTTCCCTGTAATCCAATTTCATTCGGCATCTAGCACAGAGGTCACATTCTGTTTTCTTGTTTTTTGTGGGTGTGACTGTGAGCCAATCATTTACCTTATTGTGTCGCTTGATCACATCCTCTACACCGTTCAGAAAATGCCCCCCTCGTAGTTTGTTTTGCGTTGATATGTGAATCCGGAACTTAAACCGCCGATTAAAGTGCCTTAATGCTGTCTATGATCAGTTTATTCTCAATGTGCTTTTCCTTTTTTCTTGTGACGATGCCTACATCAGTATGCTTGTTATCTGCTTCCCTGATGGGATCCACCTTCATAACCAATTCAAATCCTGAGCTGGGCTAATGATAACGCTTTCTACCTCCTCAAAAGCGGAATTCTGCTCATCTACTGCTGCCTGTTTATTTGAGGGCAATTTTCTAGTTGTGTTTAGCATCTCAAGCGCCTCCAGAGTCAGCAGAGACTTTGGAGAAGAACATGGTTTGCGACACCTTTTATATGCAGCCGTTGCACACATTGTGATAACACTTATTGCAGTTGTCACATTGCATCACATCATCAACATGGAAGTAGCGTGTAGGTCTGGCATGACGATGAAGCCGCAAACTTGTTTTGTGATCTCACAGCGAAAACTGATCTCTAGATATAGTCAATGCGGAAACATAAATACCAATGCCCTTAGTTTTTTTGTATATGTGCAGGAAACATGCATATGATAAGCGTTTCTAGGAAAAAAGCGGTACTCTTGAGGATTATTTCAACCGGAATAAATTCAAGTGCGGTAAAAACAGCAGTCTTGATGAGTAATTTGTCTATCAATATTATGAAATACACTCAGAGGAAAGATACCGTTTTCCTTTTTAAATAACGATCGAGTAAGGAAGTTGCAACAAATCCCACACTTTGATGTACAGAGCGCAACAACTTGATGCTTAACGTATCCATTAAACCGTAGAAATAAACGTTTTGATCATTCGAAATGATTAGAATGCTCTGACCTTGAACAAAAACCGCCAGGATCGTTTGATGCGATCTGGCTTGCCTTCCTCGTCGTACTCATTTTCGTTGTACGTTCCAGCTTACTTCAAGTCTCAAAAATACTAGATCTTATTCTTTAATTCTTCGTTGACCATACAATTTTTCCTTAAGTTTGTTCAAGTATGTTAGTATGTGACAGCGTTGTTAATAAGCTAAGTTAGAACAACCACTTGTTATCTTTAACAGATGTTGCTTTTTGTGTCAAAGTTCTTTTGTTCATGGTGAAAAAATCACACCCACTATGTCAAAACTCAGCTTCAGAAGTGTCTCGGGATAGTTTTCTTCAACATGTTATCGATCAAGGTATTTTTGCTATTGTAGGTTTTTTAAAGTATGTCATTCGGTATAGAGATTGACCTTTATGCATAATTCTTGTCTTGCAAAACGGTTTAAATTCCCTTGCATTTCAATCACACTGACATCGTAATAAGAGTTTGTTTTATAATCCACTGGTCAAATGGTAACTGTGGTCTCACACTTTCTGAATATTACGAACTTGTGATGATATTAAATCACTTCGGTAGCAAAACAAGGAGTGAGTGGTTTATAAAAGTAATAAAGTCTGGTTACTCGGCGAAGTTTGAGAAGTTTAATTTAGGACTTGATGATGCAGACGAACTTAACGCCCTTACAATCAGAACTTTTACTGCTCTACCTTTGAGAAAACGGACATGTCGGTTTTGATAATATTTATATCGCGGTTTATTTTCGTGATTCCTTAATCAGAACTTTTGACGCATGCGAATTGAGGTTATTTTTGGAATGGCTGAAACAGCAAAAGACTGTACCTTATTGAGTTATTATTGAGTAGTTTCCAGTGAGTACTTTTAAATACTTTGTGATGACATTAGTTATTTAAGAGTTGTTACAACTTATAGTCTTATTACAACTTGTTTTTTCTACAGTCAGGTTTCATGACAGTTCAGAAAGTTTGTCACTTAACATCTTATACTATTAAAAGATTAGTTTCTGTTTTATTTCTTTTTTAGTGTTGTACCTCTAATTGTAATAAATTGAAAACAGTGCAGTGACAATGCAGATTGTGTGGTAGTATTCAAGATTTTGTAAATGAACTAATAGGTTTGTTTTTCGAATGTTTTCACAATATTTGTTTTGCTGTTAGTTTCATGAAATTCTAGCTTCTCTCATTTATTCGTAATATCGAGCTTGGTTCCAGTGTGCACAAGCTTGTTCTGTTATAACAAGATGGGGAGCAAATGGATCGAAGCAGTGGCAAAATCAATAATAGTAGGGAGGACTAAAAGTGGATGCTAGGATTCCGGAAAATGAAGTGCGTACACAGTCTTAAGTTTGTGAAGTAATGTTGAAAATGAAGATTCAGATAAAGATCAAAATTGGATTCGTCTCTATTGTTGTGTCTGGCTGTGAACCATCTCACCCAAGGCATTTGACTATTCACCATAACTATCTCGTGAATCCCAACCAGATAGTTTGTAAATCCCCATGTAATTCTGTCTGGCTGCCAGTGTCTTCGAAAGTGAATCATGTCATATTAGTTTGGTTATCTGTAGTCTTTCAACCTGCCTCTAAACTAGTCGCTATTGAGACCCTAGGTAAACTGTAATATGGGTTCAGTGACATACTTTCTAGCCACATGAATTGAACACAATTTTACAGCCTTAATAACCAATTTGTATAATTTACCTAGTACCGTACATCTAATGCCATCCTCGTTCACTATGTTAAATCAGAATACATGAACTATGCTTCAAAATACTAGTAGCTCATATGTTTTCTGTCACTTTAGAGGCTATTTTCCATAAGAATTAAGTTAAATAATGGATTGCACACAATAAGATCGTCACTTAATATATCCATATTTTGCGCACATCACAATTAGTGCAAGTTGGCAAAGTCAAACGATCGTGCTTAGACGGTCTTGGTATGTCTATCGACTGCAATTGAATCACTTTGAAAACTATTCATTTTCAGTCTTTACAAGCTAAATAAAACCGCTTATCATATCAACTCTTTTGGCATATATAATCTCACATAGAGCATAAGCAGTCATAGAATATAGGCTTTACAGATCGTTCACTGGTCATTTAAATTATGATTCGATTATAAGATCTAATTTTTCCCACCACAACAGGCTTGTTGCCTTACTTAAATTCGGGATATCACTAGTAAATTACCAAAAAGGGATCTTAAGCGTTGAAATGTTTTTGAAAAAAGACAAAGGATAAAACGAAGTTTGAACACAAAGTATAGCATTGTCGACCGCTTCACTTGTCTTAAAAGTCTCATCAGCCCTTGTGGTCTGATGTGTGACGAAATCTCAGCACGGATACAGAAGGCTCGACTAGCTTTTGCCAACCTGCGTCATTTATCGCGTAGGCGAGATACCCGTCTACCAGCCAAAGGATGGGTTTACTACACAGCAGTTCGTTCTGTTGTACTTTATGGCAGTGAAACATGGCCGGAAAGAGAAGAGGATATTCGTAGGTTACTAGTATTCGATCATAGGTATCTTCGAAACATTGCTCGTATATCCTGGGACCACCGAGTAAGTAAGTCAGTTGTTAGGAAACGGGTACTAGGTAAGAATGGCAAATGATTGACGAAGTAGTGAAACTTGATCAGTTGAGATGGCTGGGACACGTGTTACGTGTGCCCAACTACCGATTACCACAACGTGTGGTGTTTTATGATGGAGTAGGTTGGAAGAAAGGTAGGGGCGGTCAGACCAAAACATGGCACAAGTCCATGAAGTCATTGACAAGTAGACTGAGTCATGTTGGTAGGTGTAAACTACCTGGTTGGGGACCGCGAGGTGATAGCAACCGATGGTTAAAGACCTTGAATGATATGGCTCAAAATCGTTTGCAGTGGTGTGTGCAGGTGCATCCACTCTTTGTGTTCTCCCAAATTCTAATCTTCTGAATTCTCCATATCCTTTTTTTCCTTCCAAATTTATCTCACTGGATTATCCTCCTTGAATAACATCTTCAAACCTTAATCTTTCCGATTACTGCTTATATTCTTACTACCTCTACCACTACGGGATTTGGACCGATAGCTGCATCTCTGTGGTAATGTGGTGTGGCAACTCGAAATGATGTACGTACGTACAAAGTCCCACGTTGTTACTGACAGACTGATTGTATATTACTGACTTGTAGGTCAAACAAGTGCATTTAAACTTCTGTAATATATTTGATCACCATTACTGAATGGCGAACTTTTATCTCTTACACCATTTCTGTCAACCATTGTTTATTATATACTGTCCTATTTCAGTCTTTCCGTCTCTTACATTAACGTATATTTTACAGGACAAAACAACGCTGTGCAATAAATGCAAATTAGTACACTTTCTTCGGTTGGTTAGCTGAAATTAATTAAACAGATGCATTAAAATATACTGATAGTGAACTAACCGTTGTGTAAAAACGTTTTTCTGCTCCGAAAGCATCAATTCTACAAAAGACTCATTGCAAACTAAAGGTGAAAAAGAGCTCTAACGGATTTTATTGATTAACTGAAAGTATGGATGCTTAAAAGCTACGACTTCACTTTATACCATATTACAGTAGTTAACAATGGATTTTCGCGAGTTGAACAAAATCAAGAAAGAAAATAAAAAGGTTTCCGTCTGATTGACGTCATATTTTACTCTTCAGAAGCCCATACTTGTAATTAAAGATCGAAAAACTGCTCTGTCGGCTTTGGATATTCAAAAGTTGTTAGGCTTGACGATTTTTCCCCAACATTTCATTAAATGGCCTGAGTAAGCTTATTATTTGTTTATGTTACCTGTGTAGTTGGTGTTCAGTCACCAAGCCCTCGTTCATCAAGAATATTGTTCTGGTATTTATTAACAGAGTAAATACTCTAAAATCGAACGAAAAATATGGACAACAGTTTGCTCTGATGTTTGGGGAGGTAAATCTGTTAACATGTCCATTTTCTTTAGCCACTGAAAGTATTAAATCCAGAAGCTTATAAGTATACATGGGACAGAGAAATTTCTACTGTCCCCAGAAGTTTCCTCACAACTCACGCAGCAGCTATGGCGGGTATGTTTTCTACGTCGTTGCATATTTTTAATCAATTATGACCAGTGACGAAATATTTTTTAAGTTTAGGTACCATGTCATACTTGCCTATCTAACTTAATTGCTGTCCCGAGACATCTGATTCATCCTACTAATTATTACCGTTCTACCATTTTAAAATGAAAAACTAATTTCACTATGGTTTATTTGCATTGTGCTCAACAAGTGATCAGTTTGGTCCGAAACGTGTAGCTCTATGCATTTTAATGTCATTATCATACCCCTTAGTTGAAGTTTTGTAGTAGATGCTTTACGAGGTCAATGAACTTGTTGACATTTCAGTTGTTAATTTTCATGGTTTACCGGGTAGACAGAAAACCTTGTATGGTAGAAACAGACTGAGAATTAGTTGTCTGTCATTCTATAATCTAAAGGTAATCAAGTAGACTCCAAAACCAGTTGAAAACTAAGTTGGATCTCCCACTAGGCTGTTTAACTTGGAAAAATTTATCATATTTATACTTTATTTTTCGATGGAAGTTGTGATTTCAACGGTGATACAAAGTCGAAGCATCCGTCAACCTCGCGCTTTGATAAAAACATCGAACATATGCGTTTTTTTGTTTGCTGATTCACTATTCAGATAATTACTTGTGGACTCAATTCGAGAAAGTCGTCTATGCATACGATCTGAAAATAACAAATAGGGTTGGGGGAATTATGTGAAACAATGAAACAGCTAAGTGGAGACTTTAAACGATGGAAGCGGTACAGATATATCACCTTAAACGAGAAGTATTTTGAACGATTAATAAGTGGTGTAACCTAAATTTTGTAAAATTATATTTTTATAGACACGGTTTGTCCATTTATTCGACAAACCATTTATATGTTTATCGCTTCCTATATATGTTATGACTAATCATTCTAGTTTTTTTCATGAAACTATCCATATGACTATTTGTATAATTTCCATATACTAATTATAATTTGACAACCTTGATATTTGTGATTTCCCTGTTCAAAATAAACTTGTAGTCTTCCATATTTTATTCTGTGTGTTTGTGTGTAGATTTAAATAAGTCAATACTAACTCCTGTTCCCCGCCGCACGTGGATAGATGATGAAAAAACTATTGATAAAATGCGTATAATCAAATCAGTTCACGAAATAACTAAAGAACAGTTACCTTCACAGACTACTAATTCTACTTCTACTACTACGACTACTACTAATGAACCAGTAGAAAAACGCACTCTTAAAAGAAAAGCTGATAAACTTTTTCCACTACCTATACCAGGTACACCTGATGCATTTGATAGAACTTTACTGATTTTAAATGTTGAGCAAATGAAAAAAGAAAACGTTCCATTACCTAATGAATTATTAATCGACCAACGTAAATACTTCAAAAACCGTTCAGATTTTGTACCGAGTAAAGTAAGTTTCTTTTTGATTGCTTACATGTTAAAATGCAGTTTCCCTTCAGTCACTCATCACTTAATATATCTGTTAAAAACTTATACATTACGTTACTGAATTTTTATTAATTTTGGGTGTTAGTGGCTAGCAGCAGAATCCAGAACTCACGTTTCATCTTTTTTGGGACTTCGCATCTGGATTTACTTGGATTCTAGTATTGATATCTACACACTGAGATTTAAACCCACTAACTTTCTCTCCAAACCCCGAACACGTTATCCAATGAGCCATGGAGTCCAGATGTTCAGAATACACATTCTTCAAAAGGGACAGTTCAATAGCAGTCCGTAATATAAGCACTTCAGTGAATATTTTGTATTTCTTTCTGTCAAAATATCTAAATTTATTGTGCAAAGAGTTTGCACGCAACGATTTACCAATGATTACTGAACTGTTTGGGTTTTTTCGGTACATATGCATTAGATACCCGTTGGTAAGTAATCAACACCATGCTGTTTGTCCAACTTGTCTTGGTTGTCTACAAACCTTAACTTATGGGTTGCACTGGCCAAACTTAACTTCATTTCATGAAATATGAGCAAACAAACTTCATAATAGACATAACTTTCCATAATCTATCACATAAAATTGTGTATTCTAAAGATGTGAATAAAACTATAAGGTGTTTGATATTATGTATCATCCCTAACTAATCATTGGTTTGCACTAATTCTCTGTGTTCAAAACAACCTGCTAAAAACCAATCATCTGCTTTTCCATTTTCTCAGCTGTAGGATTTATCTTAGTTGAGTTTCACTCACTAACCAAGTATATGTTTGCGTACATGAATTTTAGGTGTAATCACCAGTAATACTATGCGATCGCGCGAGCTGTATCAAGAGGAGTTGGATTTGTACTTGTAACTCAGTACTTTGAAATTGAATACTTCAAACAACTCAACTAATCCAACTTATGGAGACAATAAGTATTCGAGTTGAACAAAGTTGTATCGAAAATAAATAATTCACAGCCTCTTTTGCCTGATTTAGGATTAACTAAGGTTTGAGTCATTCTTATTGTAAGGTATGTTAAGAGATTGGAAACAGTCGGGAGGAAACCATATTAATTACCACTCGCCAATAAGATGTATCCATACTATTGAGGGGTTTGGTGTTTCCTATGGGGTCCGAACCTGTGTTACCCAGCTTCAGTCAGGAAAAATTAATGCTAAGCTATTTGAACTGCAACTGACTTGTAGGATTGAAATTCTTACATCGGTTGATTCAAGGAGCAGCGACCAATGTTACGTCATCCAGAGTATTTAGAAACTTCACCAAATACGCTTGATGTGCATACTTTTGTTGGGATATTCAGAAAAATATCCCAAAAATTATTCTGTTAAGTCTGACACTATCCTTGGACTTGAGATGGTGTCATTTTCGTATTGGTCAATATTTATTTCACGTTTCGTTTTCCTACTGGTCAATATTGTGCAATGTTATTTTCTATTTTATGGTACGATGTGGTCTGCTTAACTGGTGTATAAACAAAGTGTGTTTGAAATATAACGATTCATATCTCAGAGGCTGAGACTTGTGTTCCGGACTCAACTTGTTGGGCTAGACAGGGAAGCGGGACCAATCAGAGCCTTAGGTCGTTCTTACGTGTTTGCGCATCTTTGGTTCGATCGATAATTCGCTGTCCTCTAATCTGCCGTTCAGATATAGAAACTTTGAACTTCTATATTTTCACGTCCTAGATTTTTAGGTTTATATATATATATATATATATATATATATATATATATATAGTTTTTACCTATTAATTCGGTTACCCAAGTTCAGTTTCCTTGTCATTTATGAGTCTTCCCGCTTGCCTAAGTGGTTGAGCAAGCATATAAGAATCTTTTGTTTTTTGTATCGGACGTCGTCCAATCTAACAAGTATTTCTTAAAAGAAAAATTTAATCATATTTCCATATACAAAATAAACGATGACCCATGAAATCAGTAAATTAACATTATTTTCCTTTAATTTCCTTATATTATCATTATAGCCTGTATACCTTCCTGTATCAGCCAACAGCCCAATGTATGCAGTAGACTGCGAAATGGTACTTACATCCGTAGGAAGTGAGTTGGCTCGAGTGACTATGGTTGATGAGAAGGCAACAGTTATGTTCGATCGTTTAGTGAAACCGCCAAATCCTGTTAAAGACTATTTAACTAAGTAAAGTTATTCATCTTTTGTACAAGAAGTCGATATCTAGTTTGTGTTTACCAATCATATTATCTTTTTGTTGTACGCTATACAATAACATTAATTAGCCATTAAACTGATCATTTTGAAAGTTGTACTTTTTAAGAATATAAGGATATTATAGAAGTATTCACAACCTATTATAGTTTAACATTCAGATTCTTAGTAAAATTATACTTTGCTAATGAACTAATTAAATTTAAGATAGGGGCTGATGGGTTTCTTAACGAAAGTCAGCTTATATTTTATTGACAGATAATTAATGAATGAGTAAAAAACTTGTGAATATTCAGTTGTGAAAACGTTTAAGATTAATAAATATGGAAAGGTTAAAGAATAAGAACCATAATTTATGAAGCCGTTAGACTAACCAAACGGTTGTTAATTCATATCTAGGAAGCAGCTAGATATGTGTTCATCAATATACCTACAAAACGTTCTTTAAACCTGTTCCTGAAAATTACTCTTAATCCAAATTCCTAACACAGTTATTTATTCTATCATGTTCATAGTATCCCTGGATTCACTAACATTTTAAAATATAGAACAGATGAAGTATAACTAGTAGTGAAATTCAGGGCACGCGTTTTATCCCACCTGGAATTCGTCAGCTGTACACACCTACATCCTGCTGTTGATGTTTGGTTCGGGACTCGAACCCACTATTGTTCGCTCAAAACACCATTACGTTATCAACTTAGTCACTGATTCGAGATAACGACTCACTTGTATAATCGGGGGAATTTTAATTCATTTGTATTGGTTATTTGAATCGTCTTATCGATGTTTTGAACTACAATTGACTCTCTTTTGGCATATGTACGTCCTGTGCGGACTCCTTCGATATTCCCATCAGGCCGCAGGCATTATGAGCAGAAATGGAGGGTGGGTAGCAGTGGAGTCTTAGATGCACGTCTCATCCTACTTGGTACTTGTCAGTTGAATGTACCTGCATCCCATATCTGATAAATTACGGTCACGAACATCAATGAGATGATGCGAACAACCAGTATTTACATCACTATGGGATTCTCATAGAATAAATAATTTATATATTGATTATTATTGGAAGAAGTAGTATTTTCCGGTAAATCCGACTGGAATTAAAAAAAAGCTTTTCAAGCGATGTTTTAAAAGTCTTAAACTATGTAAAGTTGAGTCCGATACCCTGGTATTAATGGCTGATTCTCAGAGCTACTTCACAGTTCTCTTCAAATATCTCAAGATTTCGTAGTGTCACCATCGTTTGGAGCTGGGATCAACTTCCTGAGATTTTATTGTCTTCTCGAAGCTGAATTAGAACGTTTTTCGAGGGTCGGGGGAGTTTAGTTTGCACTTCTGTTTTACGTGATTTGATTTCCGACTCCTGTCGATCCATAATGGTATACTAGAGGTTAAGCTTTGGTACGCGAGACCATCGGTCCTGTGTTTGATTTCCGCATGTGAGGTCGTGAATGCCTACTGCTGAGGAGACTCACACTAAGACTAGACAACTGTTCACTGCTTCCAGGTTTTCAATGACGGTATAACATTGATCAATTCATGATTTCAACGAAACAGCTCTTCTGTTACCCAGATTGTTACCTAATCTTTGATCTTTTTGCATTTTACACTATTTTTTTTATTTCAGATTCAGTGGAATTACTAGAGAAATGCTTGCATTAATAGACACTACACTGGCAGATATACAGCGCGAATTAGCTGAAACGTTACCAGGAGATGCTATCTTAGTTGGTCATTCGATTGGAAATGATTTAGAAGCCATGAAGGCAGGTGAAATCCTCTTTTTAAAAAAATTAGTGAATTACTGGTTTATATAAAGAAATAAATTCTGGATTTTTGAACTAATTACTGTCATCCATTGTACATCTGAGTAAGATCAGACATGTAAACCATTAAATCTAGTTTCACTAGTTTAAACGTTAATTGCTCTGTGCAGAATAGGGAGGTTCTGGGTCCAATTCCCGGTGAGATTATCAATGCATCGTGTTGACGAGTTCACCGATTCCTCATTTTTAGTAGTTGTCTTGTAGTGGCTGGTACTATGTTAAGCTAACACGGGTTATTCTAGCTTCTGAATAGACCAATTTATTTATTCTTTTTGAGTTACATTTAGACCATGTTACTTATTCGCTTATTAACCTTGATTGATTTTATGTGAGTTTGTGTTAATTACTTACCATAATCATTGCGTGTCTGCAGCTTATTTTTGTCTGACTATAAATATCGAGTCACGCTTGATCAAATAGAGTTATCTCATTCGCCTTCTCCGCTCCGTTCCTTATTCTGAGTGTTCGGATAAACGAATGCTTGAAATAAATTCCTCCAACACAACTCGTATTTGACTTCTTATTACCGCTGTCACACAAACGGGGTTAGCCTAGGTAATATACGGAGTTAAATGGAAGATTTATGTTCATAGCATATTCATGCGTTCGTCCAAATCGAAGTCAGATCAGCGGGCTAAAGAAGTCTAACTACGACAAGCCTCTGGTACAAACTATTAACATAAAATCAAGCTTAACAATTTTTGCTAATGTTCAGAATTAATTTGTAAATATTCATTGGGTTTATTGTTTTCGTACTTCAAATGTTCTATCCAGTTCATTATTGAAATAAATACGCTAACATTTTACATTCCTATTCGTTATGATCAACTTCCAGTTAACAAAATCTTATCGATCAAGGTTCTAGGCAGTTTGGTAATGTTTGTTTTCTTTTTCACACAAAATCTCAATTTATCATGTACGTTAGGCCATATGTCTTAGAATCAGTTACAAAGTAGATGTAGATCCATTCATTTTTGTCATTCCTTAGATCTCGAGTTATAAAATTATCTGATACTTTTCATCACGAGAAGTTACTATTTTTCTTCTCGAATCATCTTGTCTGTTGCTGTTTTCTACTACTACAGTTGGATGGAAAAGAACCTGTAAATTTCTTTTCGCTAAAAATTACTGTTTTTACTTAATTATTTGAATAATTTCAGGTTTTTCATCCGTATTTAATTGATACAAGTGTCATCTATAATCTGAAAGGCAATAGAGCGGCTAAAACACGTCTTCGATTCCTATCAGAACATTTTCTCGGGTTAGTTGTTAGTTTTTTTATTGTTCTGTTACACTAAATAACAGCTCATGTATGTGTTCATTTTTGATAGAATTCTTTCGTTGATTATCGGGATTTCTGTTTGAAAAAACAACAGTAATTGTAGCAGAATAAGTACAGAGTCAGTTATTTTGTGTATCAATTCTCTTTGATCCACAATAGACGAGTGCACATAATTTACTATCAGGTTTATGGAAAATTATGGGCATAAACATGTATTAGGGCTGTTGAGTTTCTATAGTTGACACCGCGAACTGACTTTTGATATAGAGCAAGAACAAAGATTGGTGCAGAATAATAAATGGATTCATTTTATTTCGTTAAGTTCTCATCAGCTGCTTACAACCTAAATTATTTGAAATTCCAAATTATTACAGATATTGACATACATAAGAGTGTGATGAAGGATTAATACATGTGTATGATGATGTAGCAAAGATTCAGATAGAGTTAATGAGTTCATAAAATGTTTGATTCGAATAAATAAATAAAGTTAGAGAGGGAAAGTTCTGGAACATTGAAATAGCGATTAGAACTCATGAAAATAGATTAATGGTAATAAAGAAAATATGAATTGAAATCAATCATTTATGTATGATGTAATTTATATTTCAGAAAGAGTTGCAATAATGACGTAATAAATAAATAGGAGCAAATTAATAGAAAGAGTGGGGGTTATTGTTACCAGGGTAAAGAAAGATTCATTACTGTCTCTTTTTGTATACATAGATCTGATTTTAAACGTTTGATTGCTAACGCTTCAGCGAATTTCAAAAGGTTCGAGTTTGATTGTTTGTTAATCACCTTGAAGGACTTCAGTGTATCAACTTCATGTCCTGTATCAAGGAGATGTCTTGCGATAGCACTTGAATGCGTTCAATCCATTTAACCTTAAACTTTTCGGAATATGTTCTTTGAATCGGACGTAGGCTCCCCTTTCTGTTCTACCAATGTAATTGCTTTGGCAGGCACATGTAAATTTGTATACACAGTTGGTGGTAACATGAAAGGGATACCTGTCGACCTTTGATTGTGTCAAAGAACATGTTGTTTTGGACAGGACAATCAATTTCCCTGCAGGATAAGTTCTTGTCAGTGCAGTTTTTAGTCTCATATTGATTGATCCTGTGAGATCGTCACCTTTGAATTGAAGTTGAATAAAAATAGGCTTTTTATTTGCTGTAATTTATTTCGGTTTTTTATCTTCACATTTGCCGTACTTCTCAATAAATTTCAGTGGGTATCCGTTATTCTTTAAACACTTTTTAACATTCATAACTTCCTCTTCTAGTGTATTGGAAGTACATATTCTTTCTGTTCTGTGAAACAGTGTTTTGACCAGTGCCTTTTTGTAACTGATTGGACAAAAGCTATTGAAATTAAGAAAACTATCATTCCATGTGTCTTTCTTACCATTAATCTATTTTCAATGTTCCAGAACTTTCCCTCTCTAACTTTATTTATTTATTCGAATCAAACATTTTATGAACTCATTAACTCTATCTGAATCTTTGCTACATCATCATACACATGTATTGATCCTTCATCACACTCTTATGTATGTCAATATGTCAATATCTGTAATAATTTGGAATTTCAAATAATTTAGGTTGTAAGCAGCTGATGAGAATCTAACGAAATAAAATGAATTCATATTATTCTGCATCAATCTTTGTTCTTGCTCTATTTAAGATAATAAAGGGAACTATGTGTATGAAATGACTTGATAATCATAACGGTGGTTTCCGAAGTTCCAATAAGAATTCATGACCAGTGAAGTCCAACCATGTCGTGTGCAAAGTAGTTCTGGAAGAGAAATCGGACTATATCGCGAACTAGCTGGAGCTAGTCATGTAAACCATTGGATACTGATTCAGTGGTCTAATGGTCAAGTGCTCTCTGCGAGATTTGAAGATCCTTGGTTCGATTCCCGTTAGAGTCGTGAATATGTGTATTGTTGAAGAGTTTCATATTTGAACAAAAAAGCACTCTGGCTTTTGGTGTTTGTCTAGTTAATGCCAGTCAGTGGTGCAAATTACAGAAAAATCGTAATCAAGAGCAGAGTTGAAATATTTATGTAGAATAGTGAAATTGTGATAGCTGTGGAAAATACTTCAACAATTTTCCATGCAGTTGATTATTTTATAGGTTGATAGTCTAGAAGGAAACAGAGTCTCAGGAAAAATATATTTTTCTAGACATGGATAGTTGAGGCTATAAGTTAGATACTTATTTCCAACAACAGAGATTTAAACTCTCAATTCATTGATTTTATTGAATAAATCCATTCAAAGAGTATTACATGCTCACATACAACTGGTTGAAAGGGCGAAATCCAACTAATAACCAAAATACTATTTGACATAAATGTTGTAAGTACCTTCTAATACAACTGAGCGTATTACTTAGTAGGAGTGAGGAAAACAAAGAATGTTTAAGGTCGTCAAACCAAGAACTAGAATCGATCTATGGAGTAAGTAGTTGCTTATTAAGACTGAGTTATGTCTGGAGTTACAGATTTCCTGAGACGGAATTTAATTATTAATTGTTTTTTTTACTGGTAATCTTTGTTCATATAGTTAGATACTGGTATTATAGTGTTCGAAGACTTGGTGGGGAAGACCAATTTATTATTTTTATGCCTTAGTAAAATATCAAAATCATACATTAAGTACATCATTGTGTTTTCTTTTACATACTCTTTCGTTCTTCCGATCCTTTTGTTATTCCTATTATTTCTCGTTTTCCGTCCCCTTCTCTTTATTCCAATCTTCTGCTGGCAGGCATTCCACTTTCAATTCCTGTTACATACTACTTTTATCTATCGTTGTCAGTAGCACGCGTCACAGCATCAATATTAATATTATTTCGACCCAGTTCATTTTATTAATATATTCCCCGCTGTACAATAAAGAAATTAGCTTCATAGATTGATGTATATCACAAATATATTGAATTCATATTTCTAGAAAGTTTTGTTGTGTTCTAGAGAAATTAGTCATCGAGGCAGAAATAAACTTCAAGACCAAAATCATTTGGCAAAAAAAACTGGTGTTACTTCAACATTTCCAATTGCATACACTTTTTCGTTTTAGACGTATGATTCAAACTGGTAAAGGAGGTCATTCTTCCGCTGAAGATGCCATTGCTACAATGGATCTGGTGCGATTAAAATTAAGCCAAGGTAATTAATTGTCGTTTGTTGTTGTGGTCAGATTATAATTTATGGACAAACCAATCAGATTTAAGATAACAGATCTTGGATTTTGGCGCGAAATTCATTCACCTGTTTGGCTAAATAGAGTTTTGGAATTTTAGCTGATGTCACTTCGTGATGAAAACTTTAAACCTAGTTCCTAACCCAAACCATCAACTGTAAATCATAATCCTAATTTTTCACACTGCTTTATAATCCTTATTTAGGTGGACATTTTCATGGTCACTTCAGCGTCACGCTAAGGTCGTCCATAAATTATAGTGTTACTGTTGCTGTTGCCTATTTTGTGCTTTCGTTTTAAAAACAAAATTAAATGTTTTAAACAACAGTATACTGTATGCATTAATCAATCATATTTTAAGACGGCGGCTATGGGATTGTTGTTTTGCATGGGGTTTAAGACAGTGACGGATACCTAGGTTATTGTGAGCTGAATAAGAATCATTTCGGTTATTAAGATATTTAAAATTAATGGAAGGAAGTATAAAAACCATAATTAATTAACTAGTTTTTCTCTTTTAATGGTAACTTCAAGGTTTTTGATATTTAAAATCAGAGGACTAGTCGCCTAACAACTCATTCATGTTTCCCAAGAAAAAAGTTTTTTTACAACATTATTCATCATAACCATTGCTTCTAATTCTTATTCTATATCCTGATTCTTTCTAACTTTAAATCTTGAAACATCAACTCTGATCAATCTGACCTTTTAACCATAATCTTAACTGTAGTCTTTTATTGGCTTTTTATGTGACAAATTATTCATATGTATCACCTACATTTTGATGAACTAGTAATTATCTACTTTCTCTAATTCATATCCTATTTATTTATTTGAACACGCAAATATTGGTACGAATTGGCACCGAATACATATGCGCCACGCAGGTCACTTGATTTGTGTAAGGGCTGTGATACTTATCGGGTGCCCAGGTCGAAGCAGATGGTTTTCTTAGGCGGCCACACCCTGGACCTTCGACCTAAAGGTCTGATCCACAAGGCAGTTGGGCAACGTCAGGAGATGCAGTCCCATGGTAGCCGGTGACCAATAATTGGTTCATACGCCACTTATTCCTTCACAATCCTGGAGCCGATGTGTACTATTGGTTTGGAATCAGGGTTTTTCAACTACCCTAGGTGAATCCTCCATATCCACCACCTTTTCAAAACGCCGGACATTCGCTTTTCATCCTCTCGGTTTCGTAAACAACACCCCTGACGCGAGAATTCAGTGAGTAGGACTTTCCTGGTTGTGGCTGTGTACACGTGGGCATATGAAAGCATTTCAAGAGGAAGAGCAGACTCTACCCACCCTCAGCCGTACCAAGGCATTTGGCGCCCAACTGGGGGGGTGATCCCCCGACCCTCAGATGAAAAGTGTGATGCTCTATCGGCTGAGCTAACCGGTATCATTTTCAGTTAATAAACGTCAGTGTGTGATTTCTCCTGATTAAATAAACAGTGTGTAATTCAGAACCGATATGCAACTTTCTATGGTGTTTAACGTAAGCCATGACCTATAAAAGTAATCAAGATGAAGGTTGATGGTTTTATGTTCAAAGCACTCGAAATTTAACCATTGAGTGGCGGGTTCAAACTGCAATTAATCTATTTCGGTTTGAGTAACTGTATGTATCACTAAGATTTATTCAAACAGACTTAAGGCCCAGTACATAAATGTGCACTTAGACTATTACTCTCCGACATTGTTGATTAAGGACCGTGTTCCATTGAAAATAGATTTTAAGTGAAGGGTGGGGGCTGTTATATGTTATCACAATGATATCTCTATACCATAGGATACAAAAGTTGTGAGTTCAGTCTCATATGGAATCGCTGAACTTCATTGCTGAGGAAGTCTAAGGCCATGACGAAAAGCAACTGTACATACCCATTTGATAATAGTTGATAATAAAGTTTGTTTCTAATAAAGCCCAGAATTATTTAAATAACATTATTATCTTAAATTCGACTTATTTGTTTATGTGTTCAGTTCATATTTGTAATTGTTTATTTGTCTAGATATTGGCTTTGGTGATGTGACTACATCTTGGCGTTTCCCAGAAGATTACCAATCGCCAATAGAAACCAAGGTATTCCGAATTGTTATTTATGTGTTAATGTTACTATGTATAAGTAAGAAGATTATTTTATCGATGCGGTTTCGAACCCAGTTTCATCTAATTTGCTTTTGAAAATCAAACAGTACTACTTATTAAGTCTTTATTATAATGCGAAAAAGAGTTAAAATTGTCTACATTATCAGCGTTAGATTAAAAATATATTTGATTACGCAACAAACACCCAATAATTTGACCGTTTAATTAAGAACCAGATTAGACCAGAATGAGCGTTTATCGACACAAATACTGAACAATCAGTAAGTGGAATGAATTTGGTAAGATAATCAACCTCCTGTATTTAGTGCATCGTGGTCTAGCTTCAACTGACTCATGATCTTAACCATTGAAATTACTATAATATCCACAAAACCCATCTGATATTAAATTATATTTCTTTGAAGGAGGAACTAACATATCCAACTGATTAAATGAATAGTTATTTTATTCTTTTGCTTAGTTATTCCTTGGAAAATATACTTCTCTCGATTCTTCACAAGTTAAAACAAGAAATGGTAGCGAACAAATATATGTAGTGAACGAGAACTCAGGTAGAACCGACCAATGTATATAGTAATTCATGCAAAGTTACAGAATTCTTTGGTAAAATGTGAAAACCATATATTACGTTCTTCAATTGCCTCAAACTTCATTGTTCCTTCAATGCCTTTTGTAATTACACTGTTTACATCCCCGTTTTCTTCAATTCCATCTTCACAACCTTCTACTGCCTGGCACTTCACCTCTGACTGGTGTTACGTACTATTTATACCGACGTAATTACCATACACCATATATATATTTCTAAATCCTTATGAATAACGATGTAAACAATACTATGTTACGTCCAAACGAAGAATAATAGATGAGTGGTAACTGCCAGGGATTATTTATGGACTATTATTACATATATTCTTATTGGATAGTTATTAAGTAACTAGCTTTTATATATGTTACTTACTTACGCCTATTGCTCCTCGTGGAGGAGCATCAGCCGCCCACTAGCATTCTCCATCCAAATCTGTCCTGGACAATCCGTTCTAGTTACTATTCATCCTTTGTATATCTGCTTTCAATTCCCAACGCAGTGTGTTCTTTGGCCTTTCTCTTTTCCGTTTCTCTTTAGGATTCCAAATTCAGAGTTGACTCAAGGTTGTTTGTGTTGGTTGACGCGTCATTGGTTTAGCACAGGGACAAAGTCATGAAAGTTGATAGTGTGACTGACGATTTTGTCACGTAGTATTTAACAGGCCATAAGACATAACATGTTGGAGTTTATTTATAATTTAAGTAGGACTTTTCTAATATTATCTCAACTCACTCACTACTGCTAATTGGTTGAAAATCATCGGACTTAAATATTTGATAGTTAAGTATCAATCATTTTGTTTACAAAGAAAACTTCTGACAGAACAATCTGTGTAGTTTTTGTTTTACCTTCTCTCAATTGATTGCACTCATAAAAAGAGTTTAAAAGGAATATATATATATTGAATACTTCTTTTGATAATTCATTTCTTGGAACTAAGAAAAAAATGATTTGTTTACACCTTTTTAAGTCTGCTAGATTTACTGCATTAACAAGTAATAAACAAAACTCAAACATCTCTGGTTGTTTACAGCAACATAGCAATACTACTAACGACAATAACCTTCCATTTATTTCATCAACATGTAATGATTTATTAACAGAAAGTCAATATTTTGAAACTCATCCAGTTTTTCAAGATCATCTATTAAAATTATGTTCATTTTATAAATCTTTGGGTAAACCAATTCACTTGTTTAATCGTTTACTACATGATTCCGGTATAACTTATGCTTATTGGCCAATTTATCAAGGAGAAAACGACAAAGAACAACAACAACAACAACAAAGAGAAGAACAAGAGAGAGAAAAGGAATCAGTTCAGCATATTACTACTGATTCAAAACATAGCGAAATTTTCATACCTATAAATTTTAATTCAACTGATCATGAAACGACTACTACTGATAATGTAAACACAACAACAACAACAACAACAACAACAACTACTGCTACTACTACTACTACTACTACTACCAACAGTGATGAACCTACAACAACATTGACAGTAGTCAATAAGATTTCGAAAAAATTATCAAATTACATCGTTGGTTTGTGTAATTCACGTAGATTAGTAATGATACAGGCGAATTGTTCGCCTGAATGGGATAAAGAAGTAAGTTGTTTAATAAATTGTACAGTTTTATTACTATGGAGCGTTTGTAGATGTGATTGAAATTCATGGTTTACATCATTGACCAATCTTAGTTAGATAATCATTGAAAACCAAAAAGTACTGAGTGACTGTTTCGTCTTAGTATGAGACTTCTCAGCAGCAAAGCACATCCATGACGCCGTAAGAACCTGAACACTTAACATTTAGACCGTTCAGTTGCCGGTTAGCTGTTTACATGTCTAACTTCACGCATTTCACGGTTTTTATTTGACGCAGTTAAAATGTGATACGACTGAGTACTCGAATATTATGCGCTACAGAAAATAACATTTGTGAGTCCTTATACCGAATCAAGTACTTTTCGTAGGAAGTGTCTCCTCAAGCTTCTGACCTAAAGGCCCAGCCCACAAGGCAGTTGAGCAAAGCCAGATGGTGCTGTCCGACGGTAGTCAGCGACTACAAATATTTTCCTCAGGATTCTGGAGCCAACGTACACCATTAGTTTAGAATCAGGATTTCCCAGCTTTCCCAGGTAAAACCTTCGTATCGACCAAACAAACACAAAATAAGGTAATTCGTTTACCATATATACATCTGTGTACTCGGTTTCGAATCACTAGACTACTTAGCCATCTTACAACGATACTAGAGGTTAACTGTCTCACATGGTTAGAGTTTATTGGTCACAGCTTCTTCCTACGTCCCTGGGATTTATGACATATATTCCGATGGTAATGGTAAACGATAGATTTGATAGTTGGTCTGCCTTTTCAGCATTAAATGTCAACCTACTTTTATTCTATTTTTTGTCAGGAATCAACGTCAAGGACGCTACCCACCACTGTTCACGATCACTGCGTAGGATTCTTGTCGGCTTGCGTTTAAGCTGACTCCGCTCTTCGTTATGTTCAGAGCCAGATGGAATGAGTTTTCGAGCATCTATCAGTGCGGTAGATGCTGCTGAGATCCAGTGTTACTCCCTAACCTTACGGTTTGCCGTACTAGCAGATATCAATGCTGATTCCACAGCTTTTCGGATATCATTTCATGCTGCCTCAGGGTGGGCATCACACACATGGCTGCCTAACTGTTTTCCTAGTTTTTCCTGAAATATACTCTTAGCTTGACTATCATTGAGTAGGGCCCTAAGAGGTTTCCTTGTAGTGTCTTTCCTACGTCCAGTAAGACGCAGGCCGATACGCGCTCGCACTAGAGCATGATCTGAATCTAAGCATGTGCTGCAGAATGAGCGACAGTTTTCTACCGAGTCCTTCCATCGGTGGCTGATAGCGATATGGTCTATTTGGGTCCAACGTTGGGACGAATTAGGGGGTCTCCATGTTAAAAGATGTTTTTGCTTATGCTTAAAGTTAGTATTTGCAAGGAAGAGGCGGTTATCTGAGCGGTGCCCGAAATCTAGTACTGATACACGACATGCAATGTGCTACCCCCCAAACTGACTGCTTGGGCGAGAAAGTATATTGGGCTACCGAATACAATGCACAAATACCCATATAAATATTATACAACTCTACCGCTTAGGAAATCAGTCCATTTCTTAGCCAATGAAATACACTTGTCCTACAGATCACTTCCAATTGCTATCAATCAAACCTCTAATTTGGCTACCCCTGATTGGTTTACCATATCATTATTCGACTAAAGTAGGACAGTAGTTTAGAGATTAAGGCGTTCTGCTTTCACTCACTAAGTTCTCAAGTTCGAACTCCTCTCAAAATAGTGAGGTTTAAACAAAGGGATAGTAGTATCGTTGACTCTCACTTGAAGTGTGGCTCATACTTCAAGCACATATCCAAGTGCCTGGTGGATGATTGTTACTTATACATATATTATTTTATTAGTATTGATTCGCCAACCATAATAACGATTATTATCCACTCCAAAAATGATATTTTCTTTAACTCATTAATTATATTAACACCAATACATAAAATAAATGTTGTTGATCAGTCAGTCAGTAACAACGTAGAACTTCGCGCGTACGTACATCAGTTTGAGTTGCCATACCACATTAGCACAGAGATGCAGTTGTCGATTCAAATCCCGTAGTTGTACAGGTAGTAAGAGTATAAGCAGTAATCAGAAAGATTAGGGTTTGGAGATGTTATTTAAAGAGTATAATCCAGTGAAATAAATTTGGAAAGAGAAAACAGAAAGGGACATGAAGATTCAGAAGATTAGAATTTGGGAGAACACAGAGAGTGGATACACCTGCGCCATCGCAAACGATTTTGAGCCATATCATTCAGGGTCTTTAACCATCGGTTGCTATCATCTCGCAGTCCCCAATCAGGTAGTCTACACCTACCAATATGACTCAGTCTACTTGTCAATGACTTCATGGACTGGTGCCATGTTTTGGTCCGGCCGCCCCTAGATTTCTTCCAAACTACTCCTATACCACTGAACATCGCATGTGGTCCCAGGATATACGAGCAATATTTCGAAGATATCTATGATCGAATACTAGTAACCTACGAATATCCTCTTCTCTTGCCGGCCATGTTTCACTGCCATAAAGTGGGACGGAACGAACTGCTGCGCAGTAAACACGTCCTTTGGTAAAAATGTTGTTGATAATCTCTATCAAGTTGAACAGTCTTAATTACTATCAAAATAAACGCATTAATATCAAAAAGTAATTGTGTTCTTTGTCAATTGTGTAAATATATTTTGCATTACTAATGTACCCTTGTTGAATACTTTTGTTATTCGTTTGTTTTCTTTTTACTTTTTACAGAAATGCTACCATAAAGTGTGTAAATTCTGTACAAAATTATATTCAAATTTAGCAGAAAATAGTTTAATCGGTATTATTTGTACAGGTTCCGAATTTCAAAAGCCATTGTCTAAAAAACGTACACATGCAAACATTTTAAAATCAGCTTTAGGCAATTTTTATATAACACTCAATTCAAATGTTGTTGTTCAAACTACAACTGTTGATAATGATTCCAAATGAAGATGCTTATTAGTATTGACTTTTGTTATGTGTAAATTTTGAATTTCAACCGACTCAATCTTTTGTTTATACCATAATAATTTCCGAAATATAGAAATAAACATTATTCTTTTGTATAAATTACGCATATTTCTTATGATGATGTAATTATTTACTAACAAAGAGATATATGATCGATTCCTACGTTTTTCATTAACAAGTCATTGATTTAATGGTAAAGAAACGTCTACATCAATCAAGGAAATGAAAGTTGGTGATTATCGCTGTATCTTTGTTGATCAAATAAACCAGCAACTAATCTTATATCGCACCTGTGATTAAAGGACTGTCTTTGTTTCCACAAGTAATTATATCAGTCAGTTAAACGTTATATAGAACTTGTTACATATGTACATCGGTTCAAGTTGTCACATCCCATGAGTACACCGAGATGAAACTGTCAAAATAAATACTAGATTAATAGGGGCAGTTAGAGTATTAGTGGTTATAGAAATGATTGATTGAAAATACGACCGAAGAAGAAAATATGAATCAGTGAGATAATCGAACTCTTTCAATAGTTCACTCGAAACAAATATATATTGATCCATGTTCTTTCATTGAATACCTAACAACATATAGTTGTATTGTGTAATGATTTAACCTTTACAACTGTAGATTATGGTGTGAACTACTTATATACACATAGGTAGTATATAACGATAGAGATAGAATATATTTCAGTAGAAGATCGAGAAGGAAAGAACGGAATGCCATTTGTATTAAAATTCAGACACAATGAAATCTGAGATTATTGACTGATATTTGCAAAAGGAACAGTCAAGTTTTAGAAAACCGGTTAACATTTTGCAAGTTAGGTATTTACTGTATGATTCTCAGATTTCAATAAGAGATCCTGTAATTTTGTGTTCAAATACATTCGATTACCCACATTTGTGTTCTCGTTCACTACAGTATGACAATTCAAGGTGCATAATCTGTAAATTTCAATTATTTGAGTGTATTGGTAACGAAAAGTAAAACCATTTAAGAATGTTACTATAAGAAGAATGTTGTGTTTAGAAAACATGAATTTGTTGTTTTTAATCATAAAACTTAATTAGACAAATGATGTGAGGCTTTTTTTCAATCTCAAGAAAATAACACGGTTTAAAACATTTTGTTTTTTACAATTTAGAAGAGATGATATGATTTAAATCATTAGTTATCAGTAGGGGTTTGTGGAGATTTTAGAAATTTCACAGGTTGAAATCATGATTCAGTTGAAGGTAGACCACCATGGAAAACCTGGGAGCACTGGACGGCCGTTCCGTCACAATATGGGACTTCTCAGCAGTGCGCATCCACGATCCCTCACCCTGTGAGATCCGAACCCAGGACCTATCAGTCTCGCGCCAGGCGCTTAATCAACTAGACCACTGAGCCGGCATCCACAAACCCTTTCTGATAATAATCATCTGCACACTAGTGACCGATTTCAAGAGATACTCCTGGAGTTCTAGTGAGAAGCCGTTACCAGTGGAGTTCAACCAGGTCTGTTGTGAGATAGGAACTCACTGAAGACAATGGTGTACGGTGACGCAACTTCGTGGATTGGTTGAAGTTAGACATTAACACCATTGGATGCCGGTTCAGTGGTCTAGTTGGTTAAGCGCCTGGCGTGAGACTGATAGGTCCTGGGTTCGGATCTCACGGGGTGAGGGATCGTGGATGCGCACTGCTGAGAAGTCCCATACTATGACGGAACGGCCGTCCAGTGCTTTCAGGTTTTCCATGGTGGTCTAGCTTCAACTGAATCATGATCTCAGTCTGTTAAATCATTTGGTTTTAGAGTTGTAACTTCATGTTTATCTACAGTATTTTCGAGTCATTCTGACTGGTGAAATACATTTGTTTATTTAATGCAGATAAAAGCGACCATGAGTAAATGGCTTTAGTTATCATGTACAGGTTATAGGGGTTTTACGTTGTATTTTCCTCATACATAATTAACTTGAAACATGGAAAAAATTATATGATAGTCGATCTGAATGGGGGTAATTCCAACCATCGAACTGATTATGGTAGTTTTATTGAGAAAGTTTCAGTATCCAAAAATCCCAATATAAGTAAACCGATGGATACGTTGGAATACTTGAAATTTGTACTGGAGAATCTAACAAAACGTACTGCTTAAATGAGACAGAGTGTTCTGTGCTTTTTCACTCATAAGTACGCTGTCATCACCTTAAGGTTGTGGGAAAATAAGCTCTTTTAAACTAGTTTATCGATCATTTAAAACCATTAGTGCAGATTTTAAGTGGTTAACACTGCCTACTATGATGTCGCTATGATGAGACTTGTAGTATCGTCTTTTATGGAAAACACCTGTATAAATATTTAGCCTTCATAAGAACGCAGTACTTTCAGTTTTATTCCTAATAAGCTGTTATTAAGGATTAGTGGGTAACATTCTGTTTGATGAGGGATAAACATGATCTCATGCAAAGACATCAATTCATTTTTGGATTGGCTGTATGGATCTTCCCATTGACGTCTAGGACTACAGTTGATCAGTCCATTGGCATATGTACGTCCTGTGCAGGTTTCCTCGATGTTCCTATTAGGCTGTATAAGCAGAAACGGATAGTGGCTAGCAGTGGAATCCTCAACGTGCGTCTTGTCCTACTTGATACTCGTCAGTTGAATACACTTGCATCCCAGAGACTAACATTGTGCCGGGCTCTGATCAACTGCAGCCAAAACATCAATAAAACGATTCAAATATCCAATACAAATAAATTAAAATTCATACAAGTGAATCGTTATTTGGAATCAGTAACTAAGTTGATAACGTAATGGCGTTTTGAGCGAACAATAGTGGACTCGAGTCCCGAACTAAACACCAACAGTAGGATGTAAGCGTGTGCAGCTGACAAGTTCCAGATGAGAAAATTTGTCAGTTTCTGAATCGGGAGAGTAAAGAATGCAATAAACCTGCCTGCTATCTTCGTGTTCTAATTAGTCATTGTGTGAACAAATGGGAATTAGGATTTCCAGTCGTTGTTCAAAGTCATTAGTCATTTATCTGATTGGTGCACACGAACGAATCATTATTAGTCTCTGATCTAGTGGACAGAAATTCAGAATTTTAAAGACCACAACAAATAAACATTGAATGTTTTATTTTTTTTGCCATAAAAAAACTTATTTACAAGATAGATTAAAATACTCATGTTAGCAATTTTGAAGTTCCTGGAGTATAACAGTTTATATGTTTACCTTCAACATGAAAATGATATGTGCTCGAAGTGGTAACATTCTGAAGATTAATATTGTCCTCTATTGAACGTTTCCAACAAATTAACTTAATTTTGAAAAGAAAAGAGAAAAAGGAACAACACAAATTTCAATAAACTGAAGTAATAGTAATTAACTACACAGCGGAAATTTATATAAAGTAACGTTATTTTGTCTCTACATCAGACTGTTCTGGTTTAGACTTCAAAAGTTATCGTAAACTGTGATTGGTTAATCAACAGTCATATATATCGGTTCACATTCCCACACCCACTAGCACAGAGATAGAATTACCAAGGCAAATCCCATTTTAATAGAAGTGTGGTGTATGCTACTTATGTCGACATAAGTAGTATGTGACACCAATCAAAGGTGGGATGTCTGGCAGCAGATCGACTCGAAAAGAACAGGAACAGAGAGTAATCTTTATGGCAATAAAGGTCGATGAAGTTTGATATTATTGATGGAGGATTTGCAAATGAAATATTTGATGCATTTATTTCATATTTCATTAAAGAACTCTGGAATTCAGCATCAAAATACATTGGTTGTCCCCACCTGTGTTCTCGTTCACAACAGAGATAGTAACAGTATAAGTGGTGGTTGAGAAAAATTCGGCACATACGATTCAAGGAAATATAAACTGAAGCTCTCTAACTACCGGTTACGATAATCACGCGGACCCCAACCAGGTAATCTACACCTGTTGAAAAGGATCAGTTCCATTGTCGATAACATCGTGAACTGGTGCTATGTCTTCCTCTGGTAGATCCTAACTTTTCCCAGCCTACTCTTATAACAGACAATATCTGCTGCTGAAGTATGTGATGGCTGAGAATACGTGACACATGATGATTTACTACCTCATCGATAGATTTGCTATTCTTACCTAGTGCCTTATCCCTAACCCAAGGATTGCTTGATTTGAAGACACCTAGTAACATATGGTGGTCAGAATACTCTGCATTTTATCGGCGTCCTTATCAAATAACCACATCATCTGCGTATTCTAGGTAAGAAAGTTAATCTCTTAGTAAAGGACAAACCTCTGAAAGTTCGGATGATGAGAGCGGTATCTTTAAGTGTCAATAACAAGGTTAACTAAAAATGGGGAAAGACAATCCTGACGAGCACCAGTTGAAGTTGTCAATTTCAATAACAGTTTGCCATAACCTCTGACTCAACCAGTAATGAGAATACGATAAACAAAGCTGAAGAAAACTGTCTAATCAATTAGGAATCAGCATGCATAATGATATCTCATCAGTCTTCAAATAGAAATAACGAATAGTTACAGATGTCTGATGATAAATTTTATGTGAATTATTTTGGGAACAAGGGATTGTATAAACATACTAAGTCATAGCAAATACTAAAGAGTTTACAAAAAATTTACCTGACCATCAACCAATGATGTATAACCTGTTAGTAATGGTTTACATTCTAGTGTAATTGAAGCCCGTGATTTCCATAGAGCAACGAGATGTACTAAAGCAGGTTCGTATTCTGATACAATTGAATCTTGGAAAAAATCTCCAATATGTATTCCGATACAAACTAATATATTCGCTATATTGATGGCAGTTTGCTGATCACGTGAATGATAAAGCCAACTACATAAAAATTGTTCTAATTCACGTACAGTAACTCCTAGATCATATAAAGCTGTTATATTATCAATGAAAATGCCAATATTTTTTTGTTGCACACCATTCGAAGGATTAGTTGTGTAATTATTCTTCAGAAACTCATCAGTCTAAAAATAGGTGGTTTTTATGAAGAAAAGAAACGAAAAGTATACAATCAGTACGTAATCTATAGTGAGCAGATTTGCACTACAGCGAAAAAGTTTTTACCATCGTTATTTATAATAGCAGTGGTGTAACCTCCTTGTCTAA